GCAGATAAACAAGATACTGTCAGGAACCTACCTGATATCGAGGTCTGTCCAGCAAGGCGACCCTCCTTGCAACCCCAATATTCTTGTTCATAATGGAAGCAATCACATTTTTTTCTGCGCAAGGACCCATCCATAGACTGCCTCAGCGAACAAAACTACAACCCCCTCCACGACTTCGCTCTCCCCACCGGACAGTTGTTCGCAAACGATCTCACGGTCCTCATCCGCTCCAACAACTCCTCCTTCCAGGCCCTGGCCCGCGCCATGGAAGCCTTCAGACTCGCCTCATAAATGAAGGTGAACTGGCTGAAAACGGAAGGGTGGTGGCTTGTGGAAGGCACACCCCCCCCAACCCCCAGACCCATCCACTCCAATGTCTAGGACTACAGGCGATCAAGCACTTCGATATCTAGGCATTACGGTAAACAAAGATGGCATCTGGCAAGGGATGGGGGAGTCACTACTCGCCAGAGCAATAACTCGTTTAGCCACCTGCAACAAAGCCCAGGCCTCCCTACTAGGGAGCGCCCTGATCATCAACACAACAGTATTCTCCACCTTGTGGTACATGGCCTCCATATGGTGCCCCCCCGACGACGACCTAAAGAAGCTGAAGGCTAGAGCCAGGTGCTATTTGTGGACTGGTGACCCCAACAGAACCACCTGCATAAACAAAGTGGCCTGGCAAACTGTCATCAGGAAACCACAAGGAGGGCTAGGTATAATCGACCCTAAACAGGAAGCGATCGCCCTCCAAATTAAATAGATAATCAAAATCCTAACAAAACGAGACCTCCCGTGGACCGCGATGGCGATCAACAGCATAAGGAATTTGGCGCCAGCAGTGACCCCACCGAACATGAGTGGTCTATTCTGGATCAGGGCAAAGGAGTGGACAATCAAATAGGGGAGACCAACAAGGAAAACTAACCTAGTGACCCCCATCCAACCCCCCACTACACCCACCCCCTACTGGTCTCTGATCCTGAAGACCTGATGCTGACTGATGCCAGAAAAGAAAGGGCCCCCGAGCAACAAAGTGGAAGTCCTATGACAACCCCTATTCTGCAATCCCTGGATCAAAGACACAGAGGGCAGACCGTGGACTCTCCGGGCCAAAGACCGCGATGGATGTCATGGGTTGAGAGAGCAATATGGCAGGTCAAACTTCTGTGGTCCGAAGACCGACAACAATGGCTCACCGCACAGGACCTTCACAATCCCTTAAAAGGCTGTCATTTACTGACCACCAACCTGTCAGAAATCCTCCAAAGCATTCCTCCCCCACGGACGACCCTCCTAAAAGAGACACATACGCGGAAACCAGGAGACTGGGGACTTCTCACCACACACACCCTACCAACGAAAGCCTACCGTTTTGTGTTAAAACCGGACTCAACAAACTACCAGGCCAAGTTTGTATCCTACCCCATCATCAAACACGACCTATATGAACTAGAGATCCTAAACAAAATGCCACATAACGAACAAATAGAAACCTACCTTCTCAAGAAGGTTAGTCTCTCACAAGACACCCTAGTTAATATTCCAGCCGGAACTCAGCGTCAAGGAGTTGGAATTTGACCGAAAGGAATGGATCTGGGATCTGGGCGCCGCCAGTAAATCAAGAAGGATAACAGAATACGACGTAAACTTCGGGTATAACCTTGGACTACAAACCAGGGACCCGAACCCAAGGCTGGCAGAGAAATGGAGAACCATACTGAACCTAGATACCACAACCCCAATCACCATCACATGGACCAAATACCTTCTCATCAGACCAAGTAGAATCCGAAGTATGCAATGGCTAATAGCACATGCAGCCCTGCCAGTCAACCAATGGTTACACAAGAGAAGGAAACATTCTGATCCTGATAGCTCGGCATGCTGCTCAATGTGCAGCAACGAATCACCCGAAGACATCCCCCACTGCCTTCTGTTCTGCCCTGAAGCAATCTGGATATGGAAGAAGATCCGCGAGCTATGGTCGATCCTGTTCGCTGCCCCCCCCCCAAAAAACATTCCCCCTATCTCTATCCTACTTCTAACTCACATCCCCAGCACCATCACAGGCAGCAGGGAAGCATGGTTTACCTACTCAGGAAGCTGGCATTGTGGGTGATATGGAAACGCAGATGCACTCAAACAATCGAGGGAACAAAGGTGGCAAGAGAAGAAATGTGGTCACTACTACTGAGCATGACAGAGACGGAAATCAGGAGCAGATGGAGGAGAATAGCAAACTCTACAAGACACAAACCAGAAAGACAAGCAACCAAGAAACAGACTTTCATAAGGAACTGGTTGCTAAAAGGCAAGGTGGCAACGATAGTAGACAATAGACTGAGGTGGTAGAAATGGCACCAGGCAGAATCATGAAGACCACGAGGGTACATGCCGGGAGACCTCGCAGAAGGTTCTGCACGGTGATAAAAAAAAAGAGGACCGGACACACAGGGAAATACAAGGACAAGCAACAGAACACAGAGCGGATCCCCCCACCGCTCTCGTATTACAGGGACTCATTCGACAGGCTCTAAATAGAAGTCTGAGAGGAACAAATGGTCAGGGCGAGCTGACAGTTAATCCTCCTTAGAAGGAGCAATCAATGCTGATCAGGGGTCCTTCGGCCAGACGGAAGGAAGCGTTGAATGGGTAATATGATGTAATCTGTCTTTGACTTGCCGGGGAAATAGGAACCGGACTGACGCTCCCCAGAATGGATATGGAGCCAGGACCATAACGACCTGTTAAAAAAAAGAAGAAAAAAAAAAGAACGGAAGAAGAAGAAGAAGATATACACCAGCAAAGACCAATGTTGAATTCCCCCTCCGACTCGCCATCTCATTTCAACGTCCTTATCTCCCCCAATCTCATCATCATTCAATAAATAATCATCATAACAATGAAAGACTGAACCAGAACCAATGTCCGAATCTTCTCCTTACTGCCAACAACACATGAGGTCCACCATAGCCACGGCCTGCACCGTCTACCTCCTCTCTCTAGAAGGTGGCTATGGCGGACTAGTGGGGCCTTGCCCTGATGTTCAAAGGACAACGCAAAACTGATATGTCCCGTCTACTCAGGCCGCCATACCTAACTTTGCCCTGAAGTCTTCCTTGAAGCAGCGCACCCCCACTGGGGCCTTCCAGGTGCAGCGCCAACCAAGCAGATGAAGATACCATCCACCATAGCAAGCACCCCGTCACTCTCCTCCTAGCCCACCTTCGTCCTCCTCCTCCTCCTCCCTGGACTTCTCCACCATAGCTAAGGCTGGAGCGCCAGGCCTCCTTCCTCCCCACCAACACTGAGACTACACCAGAGCTCACTCCAGCAGCTTGACGCCAAACTTGCACACCGCAAAATCAGGAGGAGCACTTCGCTCCTCCTGGACTTGTACCTGGCAGCCTTCCTCTTTGGCGGTGACTTTCCAGGCCACTCATCCTCCCAAGCATCCAGTACCTTTCTCCTTTTTCGGAGGGAAACATCATTGCAGGTCTGATATCGTCCGCTACAGGCCCTAGACTCAGGCTACTTTGACTGGTACCCCTAGACCTAGGCCTACTGGACTTCTAAAATTTACTCGGCCTCTAACGGTACTAACCTTTTGTCTTCTTCTGCCTGCCCACCACTACTCAAGTGTTTTCTAACTTAAGTCGGCCTAGCCTACCCGCTACTTGAGTGTTTCCAGCCGTGCGGACCTAGCCTACTGCTACCTCCCCACTGCAACCCCGCAAATGCACGGCCACAGGTAAGTACCAGGCCTGAAGGCCTATCGAACAAACGAGTACCCCAGCAACCATTCACTCAGAGAACCACACGGAAACCAGCAAGCACGCACACGCACACACTTAGAAATCTCAGCAGAAGGCGGGAATCTCCGCAAATCACACATTCCAGTGGCAAATCTCAGAAATCAGCAGAGTTTTCGGTCTGTGATTTTGCAGGTCATTAGTACTCATTACATTTCAGGCTTTCTGAAGTATTCATGCTGTGAGCAGTTAAAGAACATGCATTGACAGCTCTCTCTCTCTCTCTCTCTCTCTCTCTCTCTCTCTCTCTCTCTCTCTCTCTCTCTCTCTCTCTCTCTCTCTCTCTCTCTGTGTAACTTTGAAACACCCTTTTAGTTTTCATTCAACCCTGTGACACTCTCTCCATTACAACTGAGAGGGAAAGTTTGTGTAATTACATCCTCTGGGCTGCAGCAGCACTCCTCAGTGTTTTTTTTCCCTGGTGCAACTGAAAAAACGGACAAGCGGCGGGAGAACCAAACTGCCTTGAACATTGAAATACGCCAAGCGCTGCTAACAGTGTGATGTTTACAGAGAAGAAAAAGAGGGAAGCGAAGTGTGTGTGTGTGCGTATGTGTGTGTTGTCATGTTTGTGATGGACAGCCCCTCCATTAGAATTTCAACAACTCATCGCGAGGTTGAACCCGATCTGTACACACGACTACAGAAGACGAAACTGGAAGATATCCGAAGACGTTCCAAAACAAAAACATCTCCCAAGGTACTCAAATCGCTTCAAAATTTTGGAATCCCCCAAAGAGCTGCTTTTATTAAAAACAGAAACAATTGTGGCCACATCAGGCTTTGGGTTTCAAAAGGCAAAAAATACTCGTATCGGCACGTCTGTCACGGTCCGAGTTTTGAATGGGCAAAAGAAAACATAGATGGCAGTCTGCACACCACAGCCCCCTGCCTGCAAAAGACCTGACCCGCCTGTTCCGGAAGTCCTGTCATGTTTTTTATTTGCCTTTTCAAACTCGGCCCATGACTGACCTGCCGGTACATGTTTTCTTTGCCCATCTGAAAGTCGATCGTGACTGGGACGTACTTGCCCCCCACCCCCCCCCCCCCCCCCCCCCAAAAAAAAAAAAAAAAGAACATGATGATCAGGGGAAAAGGAAAAGGTGGAAACAAAAAAGAAGAGGAAAAAAAGGAGACGATGAAAGAAGAGGAGAATAAAAATGAGGAGATGAAACCACTTACACATCATCAGCGGATTCCTAAGTGCAGTAAACAGAGACACTGCAGTAAATATAGTGGAGGGAATGAGTTGCCGCCTCTGCACCTTTGTGTAAAACGCGAATGTGGCCTGTTAAAGAATGCAAAACGCATATTAATTAGTTCTAATCATACTTGCAACTGCACCGTGCACCGTACCGTGTGGCGTGCAGAGCAGCACCTCCCAGTGCGCCCTACCAGCAGCAGTGTCCCTTTTTTTGCTTCTTTTTGCTGGTTTTTTGTCGATATAGAAGAGTGCACCACTGAAGGAACATAACCTTTTCAAGTACGGTCTATGGAATTTTCTTTTCGTCCAACTGGCAATGAGAAATAGCCTCAAATAGTTCCTTTAGGTCTCAGACTAATGTCTCAGACTGAGTGGGAGAGTAAAGTTGCTACCTAAAGGTCTAGAGTCTAGAGTCTAGACTACTGTCTCAGAGACATTAGTCTAGAGTCTCTAGACCTTAAGGTAGCAACTTTACTCTCCCACTCAGTCTTTTTTTTTTTTTTTTTTTTTTCATCCCAGTGATCCCACAACAAATTTTCGACAGGGGCGCAGGTGACCATTGACCCAGGCCTGACCCCTTTTTTTCATGGGTGAATATTTGCCCCCCGTGCTCCACACCGTGCAGGTCCGCTCTCGCGCAGTAAGTGCGCAATTTCCCGCACGGCGTGCGCTTGCATGTAAGGTTTTGGTACTTCATTAATATCGAAAAATCCACAAGATTTCTTTTGCGTCAAGGAAATCTGTTTTGTATTTTCTTTTTTGAGGAAACATCTTCGGTATTTTCTTTTTGAAGAAACCCCTTTGAATTTGTGTTCTTGGGAGCACCGATCCTGGTCCCGTTTTCCAATCCAATATGCAGGTAAGATAATCATACAAAAGGGCAAAAGCAATCTCCCCTCCCTCCCTCCCCTCTCCCCCTTCCCTCATTCCTTCCTTCTGTTCCGTTCCGTTCTGTTCCCTGCTTTAATAAGGAAGATTCTCAAACCGTTTGTGGAACAGTTTTCCAAATTCAGCCTGTAGTTTTGTTTATCAAGCAAGCTGCCATTCATGCATTCGTTCGTTCATTTGATAAATCTGTGCTGTGCTCCAAAAAAAAAAAAAAAAAAAAAAAAAGGTATGTGATGTGCTCTAGGGAGTGTTCAGTGTGCAAACTTGTATTCAAACCCACACTGCACTCTTCCAGTCCTCCATGCTCCGTGGACTGTCCAACTTATCCCGTCCAATGTCTTTCCCACCTTGTTCCCCTACTCATGATATCTGCTTTACCAAAATGGACAAACAAATATAAAATATTCAAAACTAGAATATGTATATATTATTATATACCAACCCAGACAATGTTTTTCAAATGCTCTGTTTCTTAAAGATCATACAAACACAAAGGTCTCCAGTTTTATCTTAATATGTGGGGAAATTATCCTTCTTGAAAAGATAGATTTGAAGTGCTGTACGGCTTACTGAGTAATCAGCCCTTCGTCTCACTTTTGGAGCTCCCCCTCCCTTCCCTTCCCTTCCCTTCCATCTGCCTCCCTTCGCCTCCCTCCCTTAACCCCTTCCATCCATTCTTCCTTCCATCTCTCCCGCCATACCTATATAGGATGGTAAACACATGGATTCTCATGTCTGCAGCTATACACCTGGCAATCAACAGCCATAACCTGAGATGGGACAGGCATGATTAGAGTGTGGCCTCTGAAAGTCACAGTCAATTATTGCAATGACAGGCACTGTCCCCGATTGCAAGCGGGAGGGCAGCTGAGGCATGCAACAGCATGCACATGACAACTTAGCAGCAAGCCCAACTCAAGTTATGGGGAATCACTCATGTCGTTTGTGTTCGTGTATGTGTTTTCAAAGAAACCCAAAGTCTCTCGCTCTCTCATTCCATCCACAAATCATCAAAAACCAGCCATAACACGAAAAAAGTATAGATAGGCAATATAGTAGAAGATGCAAGGTTGGCCACGTCTGTGTGGTTAAGCGCCAAGTGCCCATGCACCCGTCTGTGTGCGTGTTGTAGATTCTCACCACAACAGCGCTGCTGCACCCAGATGAGTAAATCCAAAATTAAAGCAGCTTTGCCTCTATTGTATACATCGAAGCACGCTTGAGATGAGCCAATCAAACAATGAAACAGATTTTTACCTCTATAGCACGCAACATGGAGCAGAATAGATCTGCCGGATCTCTTTCTTGCCTATCTTTACTTTGGCTTTCTTTGGGGTACCCCTTTTATTTCTTCTCGTATCTCCCCTCTTACTGTGAATCCAACATACAAAGCTTCCCACGTTGATTGTGGTTGAGCATGAGCTCCCCATATCCCCATGTGCCACAATTCCCCACTTGCACGATATGAAAGGAGGCAGAGTAAAGGGGGAGGTATACTCCTGTCCATTATCCTTAGATATTTTGTCTGTTCTCTTAGTGATGCTCATTCGTATGCATTTGGTAGTACTATACAAGGGGGGGAAGGAAGCAAATGGGAAGAGGAGTTGTTCAGAACAGAGGAAAGACAAGCTCATAGGGTTCACAGTACCCACAACCAGCTCTGCGTGTATTGTGTGTGTGTGTGTGTGTGTGTGTGTGTGTGTGTGTGTGTGTGTGTGTGTGTGTGTGTGTGTGTGTGTGTGTGTGTTTTAGATTTTCACCATAACAGGCCCAGTTCCACCCAGATGAGTAGATCCAAAATCAAAGCAGCTTTACCTCTATTGCAGACAATGAAGCACACTTGAGATGAGCCAATCCAACATTGAAACAGTTTTACGTCTATAGCTAGCAACATGGGGCACAATAGATCCATTCCCTTTCTTGACTGTCTTTACGTTGGCTCTCTTTGGGGTACCCCTTTTATTTGTTCTTGCAGCTCCTCTTTAACTGTGCCTCTCACGTACAAGGCTGGCCATGTTGATTGTGGCTTAGTGCCAGCTGCCCACATCCCCCGTGCTTCCTAACGACACACTTGCATATTATAAAGGAGGCAGAGTAAAGGGGGAGGTATACTGCTGTTCATTTTTCTTCGAAGTTCAAATGTTCAGCTTATATTTTGTCTGTTCTCTTGATGATGCTCATTAATATGCATTTACTAGTAGTACACAAGGGGAGAGAAGAAGGGAAGGGGTAGAAGATAGAGTTCTGTAGGAAGCGAGTGGCCGGGGAGGGAGAAGAAGTAGAGGAGGGAAATGGAGGGGCAAAGAACAGAACAGAGGGATGGAAAACTTCACAGGGTTCTAAATACTCACCTGGAGAAGACTACTCTAGAATGGCACAACAGGCCAGTCAGTGTTTTGGTTGCGGGAAATTTTAAGTTGAGGAGCAGCCGTTGCTTATGGCAAGTGGCCACCCGGGCCCACCCCTACAGATAGGATAAGACCGGTTCCGGTGTTGGCTATGGGAAGCATAGCATCCAATTCTCGCAGTTGGAGTTGCTGCATCTAATGGCACGGCGTAGACAGATGTCACATACTAGGTGCCTCCTACATGCTACGAACACAGAGGCACAACGACGGCAATTGTATAGGTATTGCCGTTCCAGCCCCTGTCTACAAATTGGACATGACATGTCAGGGTGCCGTACATGAGTGCAGTATAGATTGTCATCATACGTATGAAGACGAAAGCTCGCCCGGGCTATCCCTTCATAATCCGCATGGCAGAAGGCATGTGAACCACATGTTAGCGGAATCTCTGGTGGGTCATCACAAAGCGGCATGGAGCAAGTTTCTTGGGTTTCCTCAGTATTTATTCCTTCTCTATGGGTACACGATGACGGAAGAGATTGATCCAAAGCAAGGGCGTTCAGCTGCTGCAAGATTTGACCTGCAACAGCTCGCCCTGGTGAAGACAACCTATCAGTACAGCGCTCTGCAGGTGGTTCATATGGTAATCTATTTTAGTATTTTCCTCCTCACGCTGCTGTGCCCATCGTTTGTCAGGCGAGGAAGAAGGAATTCCGACCGCGGTTGCAGTAGGTGTATGACCAACATCGCATGTGGGACATGCTAGGAGAGGATGTGGCGGATGATGGCACCGGGGATAGTCCTCACAGTAAAGACATACTTTCTATGACACCTTCCTGGAAACATTGCTGGCACATGGCATGTTGCTGACATGTCATCAGCAAAGAAGGCTGATGTGCGCAATTATTCAAGCATGGCAGATCAAGGCCACAACGGCATGCTGGGCAAGCAATCAAGAGGGGGGGGGGGGTGAGTAAAAGACAAAGGATTGCAGTTTTCGTGGCAGAGGCTGGCAGCGACCATCCCTTCTTAGTGGTCGGAACAGAGGCTACACCATGCACATGCTAGCCGTGTACCTGTGCGACGAGGGATGCTGCCTGACCATGCACAGGGGAAGAAGGAGGTTCAGCCGGATTGCTCTCCGGAGGCAGTAGTGCTTGCGAGTGCTCATTGCCATACTGTTCCTGATGGACGAGCCAGACCGAGTGATGTTCTACCACTTGGTGATAGAAAGAGCTGATATTGCCCGCTGCGTGCACCCCTCTATGTGTGTGTCTGTGTGTTGTGTGTATGCGTGTGTGTTGTAAATTGTCACCATAACAACCCCTTTTTTATCCAGATGAGTGGACTCATGCCGTTTGTTTATTCTACATGTCAACATAGCAACGGCTTTCGACCCAGATGAATAAATCCAGAATTGAAACAACTGGTTTGGCCTTAAAATCTTCTACAGCACACATCATAAAGCAGACACGAGCTCTGTGTGTGTGTGTGTGTGTGTGTGTGTGTGTGTGTGTGTGTGTGTGTGTGTGTGTGTGTGTGTGTGTGTGTGTGCGTGTTGTCATGTCCGTGTGAGTTGTAAATTGTCACTACTACAGCCCCTGTTCCACCCAGATGAGCATATCCAAACTCGAAGCAGCTTTGCCTCTATTGCAGACAATGAAGCACACTAAAGATAAACCAATCCAACAATGAAACAACTTACTTTTATAGCAAACTACATGAAACACAATAGATGTGTGTGTTTGCGTGAGAAGCCCATACTTTTTCACAGAGAAGCAAACAAACAGGAGCAGGCAAGAGTCGACGAGACGACCTACCACCATGATGAGCAGGGGAGTTGAAAGCATGAGAGTGACATGGGTTGCTCGAAGGACAACTCTCTTGAGAATAGCTTTTAGCTCCTTTGCCCTGTGACGGGTTACAAAAACATCACAAAAAGAAAGTCAGATGCAGGTCAGTGTCAGATCAGTGTCAGTGCCATCTTTTCTTTGGCAGTATTTGCAC